ATTTCTCAGCAAACAGTAGGAATGATAAACAGGACATTTCTCCAGCTATAAAGTATCCAAACAACTATGTACAATAAATCGGAATTGTATATCATTTTTGCGGTGGCTTATTTCTGCACATCTGCCTTTAGATGCCCATCAGATCTCAGATTCTGCTGACCGAATAATGCGAGACAAACACACAGCATCTGTCTACTTGACCCTGTAGAGAACCTTCCTCTGCATGCGGTGCTGCACTTCACCTCTCCTCATCATCAGATGAAGGACTTTGTGAATGGCGTGTTCTGGATATTTCTGTTCAGAGGAGAGGAGAAAAGACATTTTATATACACGACGTATGAACTAAAATAGTGATTTGAGAAGTTTGCCAGGTTGTGAGCAGCTCCTGGGCCAGCTTTAACTCACCTGTTTGGTGAAATCCTGTATGATGCTGTGTTCAGACACCTGGGAGCCGATGGCGAAGCGTCTCTTCAGCTGTTTTTCTATGCGAGAGATCAACTCCTGATCCTCCTGAGTGGTAAATCCTTCAACACCTACAATCAGACAGCACTGCTACATCAGACTCTCCAGATACATTTATAGAGGCTAGACTGTGCAGGGCTGGTTTTCTATGATGGACTGAACATCGTTGGTACAAATTCCACTTTTAAATTAAATTTGCTGCCTAACATAGTTGAGGATTTGTCAACTTGTGAGAATGATTTTAAGATACAACGGGCTGGAAATAATAACAAAATAAGTGTAAATGATTGTTCAACGAACATTCATTCATGAATTTACAGCTATCAAGCAGTTTTATTACCCTAACATAATTATTTGCACCTTGTTAATAAAATTATGAATAATTTGACCCAGTACCACTCAAAGAATATAAATGTGAAATTAATAAATCAATTATCAATCTATGTAAAATACATAATTATTAACTGCAACATTTGGCAATACATTTTGAAACTTTTTTTAACAACAATTTTAACTAGTTTTATATGGTTTCTAAAAAAAATATATTTATCCATCTGAAAAATGACTTGTATCATATTTTATATATTATTAATTTATGTGATTGACATTTAATATGATTCAGATTTTAATATTATTTTTGAATTAAATTTTTTTTATTTAGTAATCAATTAACCTGACTAAAATAATTTTATTCTTAAATGTGGCAATCCTAGTCCCCCATAAAAAAAATCTACCTGTGATAAGTAATATTGCAGTTTATTCCCGGCCTGAAAGACCAACACACTCACCGGAGAGACTGCCGGACAGAGCCGCGTCCAGTGTGGACACCTGGAAGAGTCTCAGAGCCTCGTCCACCTCTTCCTCTCCAGCGATGGGCTGCAGCTTCATCTTAGCGAGAGACTCTGCAATGCGCACCACGGCCTCAAGCTGCCTGCAGGACAACAGATCACCAACCATTAAATATCAACAAGT